AGCTGTCACTTAGCACCTGCTCAGGGCCAACCCGTCCTTGCTCCGAGATGCCAGGTGCTAGTGGGCTGGTCCCAGGGACCCAGTGGTATAGGATTGGCCAGAGTGGCCCAAGGCATGTTGTGGCTGCCCATCTCCTCCAGTGCCCGTCTTGTTCTCCATTCAGAGCTCCTCACAGTAAAACCCAGCAGCAAAAAACAATGGCCGAGACCTGAAGGGAAGGCACTGCAAATGGATGGTTCTTCAGCTATTTCCTGGCGACCCGCAAAGGGCTGCAGTGAACCCCAGCAGGAGCTGAGGCTGAGGGGCAGGACTCCTTCCCTTGTGCTTACCGGCCTAGCCTCCCTCAGCGGCAGGCTGATCGGAAGGTCAGGCCTCCACAGAGAACCTCAGTGGGAGCAGCCGGGGCAGGCTGGCTCATTTCCTAGCCACAGTCTTCTGGCATAAAAGCTTGGTGTGGAAGACCCACTAAGCTGATGCCCATCAGACTGGGTCTTCTGGTAAGCAGGGAGTTCATTATCGGGAAGACAGTAATCCTTATTTATATTTGCAATTGTTCCGGGAAAAAATGCTCTCTGGCCACTGTTGGAAGGTTACATCACAGCACAATCTGTTGTAATCATTGAACAGAATGCAAATAGTGAAAGCGATGCAAACAGGTTTTTACACATGGAACCGCCATACGAAGCTCCATCTCTAAAGCGCCGAAGAGAAACAAAGACCCTCTGCTGGTGTCAGAAAGATAAAGGAGCCCCTCCAGGGAGGACAGTCCACAAAATGAACCGCCACTGGGAAAGTCCTCCCTAGCAGACTCCTGCCTGGCTTTCTTCAGCAAGGCACCTGAAGAGGGCCTGCACAGGTAACCTGAGCGGATGCCCCAGGAGGCGGCGTTCCTTTGGCTGGTCGAGTCCCGAGAGCTTTGAAAGCAGCGCCTGCACCCTGGATGTTTCCTGCATTCTGCCGCTTGTACCTCCATTGTCCTCATCGTTGTCGTCATATTTCTGTGCCACCCAACAGCCATCGCTCTCTGGGCAGTTTAAAGCAACACAAAACATCCAGTATACACACCATAAAGGTGACCGTACTCGCTGCAAGCTCCGATTCGAGGCCCGTTGGTTGACTATCGCAGTCGGCAGAGCACGTTTCCTTCCGGGCTCACGTGGGCCAGATTTCCTTCTTCCTTTTGCGCAGCTGGGAAAGGCACAGGAGGAGGAGGCCGGGAGAGCAAATCCTAACCACCCCAGCAAGGATCGAGCGGGACTGGGACTTCCGGAGGAGAAAGAAGCTGCCCCGGCAACGGCCGGCCTTCTTCCAGCTCTGCCGGGGCCGAGGGGTGTGCGGACCCCTGGTGTGCCCGTTCCGTGTGGCCACCCGGGGGCTGTCATGCATGTTGCAAAGAGGTGCCCTCCCCAGCAAGTGGGGTATCATCCCACCCCACTTGGAGCACCAGACGTAGCAGCAAACCACCGGGGCACAGAGCAGGCTGCCTGGTTCCCGCTTGTTGCTCGAAGCAGAGGGGCAGGGCTGGCATTGCAGGCAGGCGTGGTTGGGCACCCGCCAAGGGCCCGCTTCTCACTGGGGGGCCACCGCCAAGAGCCGCATGCAGCTGCTTCTCCTCTCCCGTTGCAGCCCATCTCTTCCCCTGGCTTTTGCTCCACCTGAGGCAGCGGTGACTGTGAGCACGAGGGAGACCAGCAGGTGCCTCTGCCCGGGCTTGAACCCGTGCTCGGCCTGCTGGGCAATGATGAGGAAGAGGGGCAAGGGCAAGGGCAGGGGCGACCCCGTGTGGGACCCTGCCTTGCACCACGGCGGAATAGCGGCGACTCCCTGGCAGGGCATCTGCTTGCACGTCGAAGGCTGCAGGTTTGAGCCCGGTCTGCCCGGCCGCTGCCGTGAGCCCATCAACGCTGGCAGCACCGGGCGAGAGCAACCAGGGGTGCACCGGTCTCCTCCCTTCACAGGCCACAAGGAATTGCGCCCAGGGATTCTGCAACGCAAAGCTCGAGCTGCTTTTAGGAAGATCCTGAGCAGCAGAACATGATCGGTGTGAGCTGAAGAAATTGTGCAAATACGTGGAAGAAGAGTCTGCGTTGGCATGAGTACTGCTTGAAACCGGCTCCCTGACTAATTGCTGTGAAATGCCGGGGTCAAGAAAGGCCACGGGGCGGAAAGCTCCCAGCTTCGCCTACCCGCCTGTCGTCCGCCCAGCCGGAGGGAAGGGCTGGTGCTGCCGCTGCCTCGCAGCCCGGCAGGACTCTTGGGCCATGTCGTGGCTTATCCATCTGCCGCTACACTGCCACCCCCACGCCGCAAGCCAGCATGGCCCTGTGGCCGGGCAGGCTGCAAGAACCCCTCGGGTGATGGAGACGGGCGATTCTTCACTGGGACTGCCTTGCCGAGGCAAAGCTGGCCGGCCGAGCGCAGGGGCGGCAAAGGATGGGCAGAAGGGGGCAGTTCTCCACCAGCCTGCAGACACTTCAGCCTCCTGTCCCTCTCGCCCTGACTCATCCCAGCTGGGAGCAGAAGCCTTGCTCAGCAGGGCCGGCCGGAAAATCCCCTCTCACTGCGCAGCCCTTCCCTTTCTTTCCCCAGGACGGCATGGGCATTACTCTGGGATTATTCCTGCTGGGGGTGGCCGTCTCTTGCCCGACCGAATATTTCTGCGCTCATCCAATATCCTCTGGGAGACGCTGTTGCCAGTGACACATGCAGAGAAGGGAGCAAAGCAGGGTTGTGAGAATGCCCCATCTGGTGCTGAGAGCCCTGGGGGGAGTTTTGGTTGTCATTCAGGAAGCTTTGAGTTCTTGTCACCCGGCCTGTGAGGGCAGAAAAACAGGCCCTCCGTCGTCGACAGCCTTTGCAGCCAGATGCGCTCCAGATGTGGGGGGCTGGCCATGCACAGTGGAAGTGGCTCTGCAACACTTCTGGGGGGGGCAACTCAGTTGGGGGGGCCACCCCCAGGTCCAGCCTGGATGACCTGTGGAGGGCGGTGCATTGTGGAGGCTCGGCATGTGGGCACCTTGCCGTTCCAGGGAGGGGCGCATGGGCCCTTGGCCTCCACCCCTGCCTTGCGGCTGCAAGAGGTGCACAATTCCCCATGCAAATGCGTGTGTGGGAACACTAATGCATCCCTCAAGACTGACACACTGCTGCAGCACACTTTCATTTTAAACCGCAGTAGGATGCCATCGGAGAACACAACTCTGTTTTTCTAACCAAAAAGCCCCAAACCATCTTGGCTTTTAAATCGATGGAGGACCAGCCATCGCCGAACAAGTGAATGAATACAAGAGAAAGCGGGCATACCGGAACCCAAATGTTTCTCGCCATGTCTCTCGTCCGAATAAAGAAGTAATAAACACATCCCTGTCTTCCTCTGCAAAATCAATAGGATACAAATCTAATAATCCAGGATTAGGAATCCAGGCATCTAGGTAGCCCAGTTGAAACTGGACATTATGTAATATTGTGGTTCATATAGCTAATGCACTTCAACTTTAATGTCAGCGGCTGTTGCCCCTGCAGCAAAAGGTCTCTGGGACCAGCCTACAAACAGCGCAGCTCAACTCACCTTTTGAGATGACCTTTGCCAGACTTTAATTGGATCTGGTGCTTAGGACGTCTTCAGCCCAAATCAGGTACGTTCTGAGCAAAGGAGAGTAAAAAGGGAAAGCTCACACATTTCTCTGAGAGATTTTCTGTGGAGTAGCTCCTTCCTTGCCTTGGGAGCCACCTCAGCTCTTTCCCATAAGCTCATCACAAATGCTGGAATTAGGAATCTCCCCCTCTCTGCATCTTCTCTATATAATATAGAGTATGTAATACTCTAAAGAACTCGGCTTTGAACCCATGTCAAGTTCTCTGGGAGACTCGCTGTGAGTTTTGTGAGCACAAGGCATGAAGAGATCTGGGAACGATGTCCTGTCATTCCAGTAACGCAGCTGTGGAACGGGTGTCCCCAGGAGGTATTGTCTCCTGCAGTAGCCAATCTTTGCACCCCCTGGAGGAGTAGGTATTAGGGCCTGCCACAAAATTCTAGCAACAGGTTGATGAGTGGAGTGAGGCTAATCCCAGTAAGATTTACTCTGGGGAAGACTGGGTGGCTTGAGGCGAGGGGGGGTTCTTGCTTGGAGTCTCTGGTATCTCCATACCTGGAGAATGGAAGGTTTCCTCGAGCCAGATGGACAGCTCTCCTGAAGCTGCTTCTGCCTTTTCCAATTTTCAGGGAAGTCCATGTTGTCGCTGTTGCATTAGGTTGTGTGGGCGGATGATAGGCATTCATCTGGCATGCAATGCTCTGGCTTGCAGTGGGGAGTTTGAGGTTCACCATCATTCGGTCCGTCTCAGCTCTGTGCAGCTCGTGTCTCCGATCTGTGCTGGTGCTAGTCCATGTTCTGAGAGATCATGAGTGGAGAAACCGTGGCCTCCAGATCTTGTTAGTCTAGAACACTCATCAGGGCTGATGCGTGTTCAACATTGGGTGTATGTTCCCCACCCTGCCTCAGGATGGCTGAATGAGACAGGAGGAAATTGGGCAACTTGAAAGGTGACACACCAACACAGAAAAGATCGGGGTGCTACTTAAGTAGGGGAAACAGCAGAGGGATGACAGGCAAGTCAGCTTCACGTGCAGTGTGGAACGGGCAATGACTGCCTCACAGGGCCGTGGTGGATGGCCGTCTCAGAACATCGGGACGTGGCACGTACTGAAAACACAGGTGTCGTAATAACAGGTGACTCTTGAACAGAGGTGAAAACGTGCATGTGGTGGGAGAGGCAAACATGCCCCTGCGTTCACTTATGGCATCAGTACACCCCGCAGGGTTGGCGTTTTAATGAGACTGCACAAAAAAATCTGTGTCCCACTTGCTCTGTAAGGAGGGGGAAAGCCACGTCCTAAAGCAACAGCGGGGAAGTAATACGTTCTTTCGGAATTCTAGTTTTCCTGGATATTCCTGGGCCATAAAAGGTGATCTTCTTTTTCTTGTTTTCTAAAAGAGACTGTTAGAATCTCTGATCTATATTAATTTGGATGTAGATTTATAATTGCAATATGCAGCTGTTCCCTGTGTGTGGCTGATGGGTTACGGTAAGAAAAGGGCTCCTCTCGGAACTGGGACCCAAGTGGAGTGCTCCGCTTGCTGGCCCCGATTCCAGTGAAAAAGATGAAGCAAAATGAAATCTCGGCCACCTAAAAGCCATCTCCTGGCCCTCCGTAATGTATACCAACCACACCATAAAAATGCTACTTTGTTCTGAGTTCTGCTAGATCCTTCTCTCTCCCCGCCACTAGAACCACGCGTGTTAATGAGCGAAAGCACTGAAAAGCACCAGCGTGCTGAGGTTTCTGCCCACACGTGCCTACAGCGAGCCGCCCGTTGTGTCATCTGTGTGGCCGGCTGAACGGGGACTTGAACCTGGGTCCCAGCCCCACATGCCACTCCTCTGGCTCACTGGCAAACTAAGCCTGGCTCTGCTGCTTTCTTGCCTGCAGAACTGCTCCCTGGAGGAGGCCCAAGGCTGCCTCGGCCTGACGCCAGCAGCAACATGGAACCTCAACTGGAGGTCAGGCCCTCCGGCCGCAAGAGCGCCGGCAACTGGCGGCTGCAGTACGAGGAGTCCCGGAGCCGCAGAAACTCCATCCCCCCCACGAAGACACCCACTGCCAAACACCTGCTGGCTTACCTGCCTCGGCCTCCCACGGAAAGTGGCAGATACGGGACCTTTCCTCAGAAGGTAGGCGCAGGCGGCCTCCGCACGGCTCTCCTCTTCAAGCGAGGATGGGGTCACCTTCCCGCTCCATCCGCTCAGACTTCTGGGTGTGGTTGCACATCGTGCCAGGCCACTGGGCAGCCGGGCGCCCAGCCTGCTCCCCCAGAGGCCTCCTGATGGCTCCCGCACCCAGTTTCCTTACCCCTTATGTCCAAGCGTTGCTGGCACCTGAGAAGGGCCCGCTCAGAGTGCCAGACAGGGTGGATTTTTGCAGCCCTTATGAATCGTGATGGGCGTGCAGTCAGCATTCTTTGCCAGGGGTTTGCTCTGGAGAGCAAGGCTGGCTCAGGAAACCAATGTGGGCTTTAAGGCAGAGCCATGGTCAGGGGGAAACCGGGAACCTTTCAGTGGGAGGTTTCTGCACCTGTGCACCTGCACAAGGCCGGAGAGAGAAGGATCATGAGTGTATTTGCAGTGCTCTCCGCTGTCCTTCCTTTGCTATGTTTAGGGACTTGGGTGCAGGGCGGATGCGGTCACGCAAGCCTTTGCGATAAGAAACAGGCCTTCTCACCGCTCTTGCCTAGCAACTGACAATCCACAAAGAAGCCATCTTGCTGGGTTCAGACATCACCTCAAGCCACCCTGCACAACCCAGAGCAAGCCGTGGGTAGCTTCTTCCTGGAAAATAGGCCACCCTGAAATGAGAACACACCCTGGGGGATCACCCTTGCAGGTTGTGTGTTGCCGGCCTGGGTCGTTATGCAAATCAGAGGTCGTTGCTGTGAGGTGGTCCATGCTGTGATTGAGTTTCATCTGGGCCGTTGACTGCCCTCGCCTCTTTGAAGGAAGGGCGGGAGAGAAACCGATGGCACCTGACTAGAGGAGGAGTGGACGACTCTGCAGTTTGCAGGGCCTGGGTTCCGACTGCTAGGGTGATGGTGAAGAAGACATGCACTTCTGCAAGATCCCCTCAAAGGCAGACTGACCATGAAATAACTGTCCAGACACATTGAACTGGTTCACACAACTCCTGTGTTAACCCAAGCGTTGCTGATATCTAGCTAGAGCAAACAAACCTCACATGAAATTGTTGCTTCAGCTTTCAGTTAACAACCCAGGAATGTTACTGGGTTGTTATGTGATGTCTGGACCTGGAAACTCTGTTGTTTAAGGTCTAAACAATGAAGAGTTAACCCAACAACAAACCATGGGTTAATTCTGGGTTGTTCAGGGGTTAAGTGCAGTTTCTTGATGCACTTGCTGCCATCCAGCCTTGACACCCACACTTTAAATCACCAACGGGTTGTCAGTATTGTGAATCTGCTCTTTGTGTCTTGTAATGACCAAAACAGTTAAGAAATACACACTTAACTTGACTGCTTCTTTTTTTTGACAATAAATAGAGAAGACTGGGCAAATGGCTTCACATTCAGGAAAATGTGATGAGGCAGCTGGGCGCCAGCTCACGTTTCTCTGGTGACCAGAGCGTGGTCCTTAGGTGGCCAACGGGCAACCTCAATCGACCTGCTCAGGGCCTCTGGGTGTGTTTCCGTAACGCACTCTTGCCGGCCGCTTTGGGCCTTCATCCTCTCGCTTGAAAGATGGGCATCTTCTCTCTTCTCCTGGGAGCTTCTGCAGGCAGGCAGCCCGCACGGAAGCTGGGATTGTTTGGAGGAGGGATAAAACGCCGGGTTTCGAGCGTGTCTCTGTTCGTTTTCTCTTGCAGCCTGAGATGATAGCGGTTCCGATGGGCCCGTTAGTGGAGAGCCACCAGCAAGCGGACCCTGCGGCCACAAAGAGAAGTGCCCTGACGTGCAACTATGTTTCTGTGTCCTGCAGCTCGAATATCCCCAACGACAGATCGGTCCTTCTCCAGAGGAGGCTCAGCACGGTGGAGCAGGCCAGCTACAGTGCGGGGGTGCCTCCCAAGCACCGGCCCAGCGTCTCCATCAATACGGAGGAGCTGCCCCGGTACCACCGGTCGTCCAGGACCGACCCGCCTCCGCCCGCCCTGCTGCGGGACTTCAACGCCCGGCTCTATCCCCAGCACGCTTTCAGCGCCCCCAGCATCATCAACTCCGCGCGGAACAAGACGCCGACCCGGAGCGTGATCTCGGCGCCCTCCTCGGACAAAGGGCCGAGCAGGCGCTGCAAGCTCATTGACGACGACCGGCAGTTCGGTGGCGGGAACAAGGGGCAGCGGCAGCGCTACGTGACCAAGGTGGGCAAGTGCCAGGTGAACCTGGGGAACATCCAGGAGAAGAAGCGGTTCCTCTCCGACATCTTCACCACCATCGTGGATCTCAAGTACCGCTGGTTCCTCTTCGTCTTCAGCATGTGCTACGTCATCACGTGGGTGGTCTTCGGCATCATGTACTACCTGGACGCCTGGATACGAGACGACGTCAGCCACATCGGGGACCCCGAGTGGAAGGCCTGCATCGAGAACATCGACAACTTCATCTCTGCCTTACTGTTCTCCGTGGAGAGCCAGCGGACCATTGGCTACGGCTCCCGCATCGTGACGGCCCACTGCTCCGAGGGGGTGATCTTGCTTATGGCCCAGTCCATCATCGGCTCCATGATTGACGCCCTCATGGTGGGATGCATGTTTGTCAAGATCTCCAGGCCCAAGAAGCGTGCCCAGACCTTGATATTCAGCAAGAAGTGTGTGATCTCCCACCGGGACGAGAAGCTCTGCCTCATGTTCCGCATCGGAGACCTCCGGGACAGCCACATGGTGGATGCCAAGATACGGGCCAAGCTGATCAAGTCCAGGCAGACGAAGGAAGGGGAGTTCATCCCGCTGGAGCAGTCAGAGCTGAACCTGGGCTACGACACGGGTGAGGACCGCCTCTTCCTGGTGGAGCCACAGATCATTTGCCACGTCATCAACGAGCTCAGCCCCTTCTGGGAGATGTCTGCGGAAGCCCTGAAGAGGGAGCAGTTCGAGATCATCATCATCCTCGAGGGCATTGTGGAAGCCACAGGTGGGTGGGGAGGGGAGGCCACGGGGGGAACTCAGGCAGGCCGAGGCCTCACTCTGGGGACTAGTTGGTTGGGGCGGGTAGCCCATGGGCCACCAGAGGTTTTAGCCTACCGCCTCCCTCAGCCCTCCTGATTGGCTATGAAGGCTGGGACTAACAGGTCAGACTATTTGGAGGGCCACAAGTGGCAGCCTTGCCACTCTCAAAGCCATCCTGAGATGCCTTTGGACAGAAAGGATCTTGCGAAACTCTGATCTTACTCAGGACCAAACAGCCCGTCAAAGGAGCCTAACCGCTTGGGCGCTGTGGGAGAAGTTAATAAATAAGATGGGAATTGAATTCCTGGTGGCAACATTGCATACTAAGAGAAAGAGAGCGCAATTTAAGAAAGTTCAGGACACTCAGTATCCAAGCATATTACAGGAGACGCCAAACCAGCCAGAACCAGCCACACAAAAGGGTTGCCTTTGGTGCCATCTGGTGGCCCTCGGTTTTGCAGCCTTAAAAAAAATCCACAAAACTGATGGGAGAAGAGGCAGTAGATCAGATAATCTATTTGTGTCCCTGTTATTTAGTTAACACAAAGTACTCAAAGAAGCTACTGGAAAGCAAGCAGTATTATCTGTGTTCACCGCAAGCCAGCTTCTCAAACGGCACGCTGTGCTGTTCATATCCTGAAGCTGGCGCCAAGCGCTTGCCCGAGTGCCTTCACCCCTTTTCTAATTTGGGCTCTGGTCCAGATTGGGGAGGGGGGCGCCCCTTTTCCAGCACTGCATCTGAGCTCCAAATTGCTTTGCTTTTGCTCCATCCCCACTCAGAACCCTAAAATACTGTCACTCAGAGGCAGCGTTGGAACTTGGGCACCTTCCCAATTTCTGCTGCATTCAAGCAATTCTGTGAGTTCTTCCTCATGGTCCAAACAATGCCCCTTTCTGGGTGGTGCAGCTGTTTGGCAATGCGAAGGACTGGGCGGGGGGGGGCCCTGCTAGATCAGGCAGATGGTTCTGCCCAGAGAAACAGAGCGGATGAGCTGGTACGAGGCCGAATCCGTCCTCAGAGCCTGGCAAGAACAGACCCCTCTCGGCTGGGATGTGTCACCGTGCCAGTAGCAGCCAGCCTCTAACTTGGTGCAATGCAGGTCATGATTCCAGGGAAAGAGCAGCAGATCGCTCCAAAGCGCTGGCAAGGGAGCCGGTAAGACTGGACACTCCCGGGTTCATGTCAGAAGTGTTGCATCCTGGGTGGGCCGAGGCCCATATGGTGCCCACCGCCTTTTCTGCAGCCCACTGGCCTCCTCTTCTTTCAGGAATGACGTGCCAAGCCCGGACATCCTACGTGGAGGACGAGATCCTTTGGGGGCACCGTTTTGAGCCCTGCATGACCCTGGAGAAAGGAGCCTTCCGTGTAGATTACACCCGGTTTGAGAAGACGTTTGAAGTTCAGACCCCGCTGACCAGCGCCCGGGAGATGTACGAGCTGCGAGAGATGGAGAACCAGGACCAGTCGACGCTGAGCCTGTATTGGGACCATCTGGTGCACCCTTGCCTTTCGACGGACCTCAGTAATGACGCTCGGCAGGGCGACGGGCCCAGCGAGGAAGGCCTCTCCAGGCTGGGATTCTCCAACATCACAGAGGAGAGAAGCAGCGAGTACCAGAATCAGGGGGGTGATGTCTGAGCTGCCTGGGCCGTCGCCGGAGGCTTCTGTTCAATCCAAAAGAACTATGGAGGAGATCCTGGAGGCTGGTGGAAAGGCACGTGCCACATTCGATCTTCTCGCTTCCTCGTGCCGTGTGGAGCTTCCTGGCGGAGCTGCATGGAACCTGGGGCGTTCTGGGGGTTGTCTGGCTCGAGCAGGACTTTGGAGCGAGGCCGGGCTTCGGGTTTCTCTCCCTATCTCCGCTCCCCCGGACGGCTAAGACATTGCTCACCACTGAATTGCACTATATACGAGCTTCGGGGCTGGAACCTCGAGCAATGCATTCCTGAACCCATGTCTGCTTAGGGCTCCTCGTTTCTATGAGCCTAAGCCAGACCGCAAACCCAACACTCTTGGGGGAAGAAAACACACTGGAACCATGTTTGCCGGCACGCCTGTTGCTGTCAAAGCTGGGGCGCTTACACCGTCGGGTTTCGTTTTTCATTTTTTGCTTTGAGATAAACCGTGAGAAAAATGGAGGGGGGTACGTGCCCAGTTCTCGGGCTGCCTCCCTCACTATGCCACATATGGTAGGTGCCCGGCGCTGCGGTACCCCCAATACAGAGGTGTCTCACCTTTTACAGTGCCATACAGACTCTTGGTGGATGTCGTCCCCCTTCCTCTCCCCGTGTGTGTCGGTGGACCGTCCTCCTCCTCTTTGCCTAAGGGAACCCCACAGTCCCTTCACTGTGGCTGCTGCCAAGTGAAATCATTTTTACAAGAAGCCACACGCTTTTGCAAAAAGGACCTGGGGAACGGGTGGGCAGTGGATGGGCAAATAAAAGCCTTCGGAACAGCCCCGTGGAGCAATCTTGCGTGTGCCGTCAGGCATGTTGGGTGATATGAACTAGAGGAATGTCCTGAAAGTTTTGAAGGCGCTCGGAGTTGTTTTCCCCTGGGTACCGGGATGTGGGGGGAGAAGGAAAGACAACCTGGTTATTTGGGGAGAGGCTGAAGTATCTGCAGCAGAAGCAGCCAAGGGGGGGGGGGGCGGGGACATGCCACCCTTCAATTCTAAGGGGAGCCCGAGCCTCCACAAGCCAGCCAGGGACCTCCGGGCATCAGGTGAACGCCCAGGCATCGGCGGCTCTGCCCCTTCTGCTTGAGAAGCAGCCCCACTCTGTGCCCGTGCTACTCCGCCACTCAGTGACTTCACCCGAGGCAGCTCGCCTAGGGCTCGGCCGGGTGCAGCTCAGATCGCTGCTGCGCTGTTTGTGGTGCAGGATCTCGTGCCCAAGGGCCGCAGGCAGCCCCCCGGGTTCCATGGGCAACCACAGACTTTTGAATGGCCCCATTCTGCTCCCCACCCCCCAAGCATGGGTTGTTTCGGCATTTCCTGGCTTTTGTGCCTCCTTCCCCAGTCTAAAGGGCTGAGATGCTCTCCTCGGGCTTACCGACTGGCAAAAGGAGCTTGAAGCAAAATTCAGAAATGGCATTTCACTGTTTTTGGTCCCTGCCCCTCTTGCCTTTGCTCCCCACCACTAAAACACCCCCTGCGCATGCAAACGCCTCTCTGAAAAGGGCCAGTTCTGCAGCAGGGTTCTGTCCTGTGAAAGTTGCCCTCCCCCTTCCTGTGCTGCTTGTTCTAAGCTCTGAGGGGACGCTAAGAGTGCGGTCCTGGGCAAGCTCAGACACAACCCCCACCCCTGCGGCATTTTCCAGTGTTTCCCAAAATTCCCTGCAGGCTAGGAAATGCTGGAAGTTGCTGGACCTCTTTGTGTTTAACCATGCACAGACTCGTGTGCAATTTGGCACAATGACTCCATACTCTTCTCACTCATTCCCAAGTGCAGGGTATGGAATCACAGTTAGTGCAAAGAAACCAGATTTAGACTAGACACCAGGAAGAATTTCCTCACTGTCGGAGCAGCACAACCATGGAACCAGTGGCCGCGGGAGGCTGTGGGCTCTCCCTTGCCGGAGACGGTCAAAAAGCGTCTGGACAGCCACCCGAGTGGGATGGTGTGACTTGACTGGCAACAGCAGGAGGCTGGAGCTGGTGGCCTTCTGGTCCCTTCCAACGCCATGATTCTCTGATTCTAAGGCTCAGGTCAAGCCACTGCTGTTTTCCACCGGAGCATTGTAGGTTGCCTTACACCAGTGGGACGTTGGTCTTCCTGGCCCGTTCTGGTTGACACCGCCTGGCAGCAAATGCAGGCAGGCAGTTTTCCCACACCTGGAGATGCTGCTGGAGACTCAGACTGGGACCTTTGGCATGCAGAGTCTACAGCTGAACTGATGCCTCTCTCTAACCCCAGAGAATCGGAGCTTAGCCCTCTCTTATCCTGAATGTAATGGTTTTATTATCATTACATTTCTTGGCCTGGATGGCAGCTAAGCAGCCCACCTCTTCTGATACAGAAGTGTGAGTAAGCACACGCAGAAAAGTGGTGTCAAAGTCGAGAATTCACAGCAGAGGTTTAGAAAACAGGAGGAAAGAACCGTGAAAACCCCAGAAAAGATCTGCTGGGATGAAAAACAGTAAGGTATGGTGCAAAACATTCAATTTCTAAGAAAGTAGATCTCTAAAAATAGTCACTTTTTTATGAAATTATTTACTGTTTGAAGAACATATGCAAGTTGAGCCTCAGTGTGCAGGAAGAGAGAAAGACCAGTGAAAAAGTAATTAATAGTTACCTTATTTCTTTAGTAGGTCAGGCCAGACTCAGACAATGCATCATCTTCCCCTAAGCCTGTGACTGGCTACAGAAAGCGATTAAAGGCTCTTAATCTCCCAGCATTGCTCCAGTCAGCCAAGACTCCAACCTGGAATTCGAAGCAAGCTCTTCCCTATCCTTCACCTGTTTGCACGTTTCATTTGCAGGCTTAAAAAAAATTAGCAATCTTTAACACCAAACACGAAAATTACTACGGGAACCAAGTGGTCTCAAAAATTTGAGGCAGGGAATGCAATGGAGAGTTGGTGACCTCATTCGCTTCCAACAATGAGACCCTTTTAAATCCAAGTTTTAGGATTACCAATGTGATCCAAATGGAAACTAATGGGCAGCTGCACTGACTCCAGAGAAGGAAACAGGCAGTGAAAGCAGCCAAGCCCATCCTGTAAGGAATAGGAACGGTAGTATATTCAGCTAACAGTGCCGATAGTACACCTTGGATGACTGTGCATTGCCATGGGAGTTTAGGTTGGCCCCCTAGACTAAATCCAAAATCCTAATTCCATTTACTAGGAAGCAAATGCCACTGATCTTAGTGAAGCCGAGAGCTTTGCAGAGTGCCCAGACAGTCCTCCCGCCCAAAACATCCCCTTCCCCTTCTGCCCCTTCCTTCATCTCAGCAGAACAGGGTGTGCAGGTAGGGAGAGGAGATCCATTTAGTCATGGCCGAGGGTAAAACTAGATTCGGAGACACACAGTCTGCTGAGCATTCGGGGTTGTTTTCTGTTGTCTTGCCACTCTGGATTAGCCTGAATCCTTGCAAAGGAGAAATTCAAGGCACTCCTTTTAAACTGTTTGTTCTTTCTGGCGCCAGCTGCCCCGGCCTCTTTTTTCAAACTAGGCTGCTGAAGAGCTGTAGTTTTTCCAAAGCACATGACTTCTCACATTAGGGAAAATTCCAGAATTTTGCCATCGCTCCCTGAAACTGCCCAGTAGCAATACTCTTTTCAGCTCAGATCTTCCTTTGCATGAAAATGGGTTTTGATATATAGTTTTGAACCATTTATAGCGCGATGCCGCAAATAGGAACACTCTCTTATCCTCTCGAGGAGTGTGAGGGGAGCCTGCCATGCCACCCACGGTTTCCTTGAAGTCCAAGGTTGGAACCCGGGAATCCCGCATGAGACCCGGGGCGAGGCTGGGGCGCACCTCGCGTCGCCCCCTCAGCGCTTTGCAGCCAGAAAGCCGCATCGTCTCCCGGCAGGGGAAGTAGGAAGCCCACGTTAAGGGCGCCACGTGGAGAAGCAGCTTCCACGGAGCTCCTGTTTCGAAGGGCGATGGAGAACAGAGCAAGCCCAGTGCAGAAAGACCGCAGGTGCCTATCGCAGCAGGTGCCTATCTATGTATGTACGAAAACATGATGGGGGGGGGGTCTCTAGGTCCCTGCAAGGGAGGCAGGGCACGCTGCTCTTCCCGAGCACCAGCCCTGCAAGGTAGGCTGCCACCACCCCGGACGTCCAACTCAGCCTGAGTCAGGGGGCCGTCAAAGCTCAAAAACCCCCTGAAGCCCAAGCCGGCGCCCTTTGCGGCAGACTTCCCCAACGGGGCGCCCGCCAGATGTGCTGGGACTACCACTCCCAGAATCCCCAGCCAGCAGAGCCGCATTGGAGAGCGGTCGGGTGAGGAAAGCTGCGCATCTGCAGTGACGCCCCGCCCCGCGCCTGGTTCGAAATTCAACCGTCTTTCCCCTCCCCGGAGGCGCGAAAACGAATTCGGCGGAAGCAACCCGGAAGCCCTCCGCACATTCCTACGTCTGTTAATTCAACGGCCTTTCCCCATTGGCTACGCCGGTGTCCGCGGGGCTGCTCTACCCGTAATATCTCTATGGCGGTTCCCCTTTCTCTGTCCGCCGGCGCAGCCGCACGCACACAGAGACCGGAAGTGCCTCGTGGCCGCAGCGCACGCCGGGACCAGTAGTCGGGCTCGACGCGCACGCGCGCGCCCCTCCCGTGATGCACTGCGCGCGGCAAAGGCGACGGGGCGGCCGCTGACGAAGGAGTTGCTCATGGAGGTGGCCGAGGCCGAGGCGGTGCCGCTGCCCCCGCCGGCGGCGAAGGGCCTGTCGCTGGTGGAGGACGTGCTGGCTTGCTCGGGCCGCCTGGAGAGGGAAGGCCTGGGCCACCGCATCTCCCGCCTCTCCTGCCGGGTGGAGGAGCTGAAGGTATGGGGGCGGGGCCGCTCGGGGGCGGGGCCTGCCCCGGGCTCTTTCGCGGCTCTTGGCGCCTTCTCCGAGCTGAGCGTTCCTGAGCACGTGCAGAGCGGCTCTCGGCCACGTGGCTGCCCGTTCAGGCCCTGGAGAGCCTGCGAGGTGTGGGGTGGCTGTGAGGACAGACGGAAGGAGAGCAGGACTATGCAGCGCCCCCGCCCGATTCCTTGCTGGAGAAAAGTAGAATACCAAAGTAATAGCAACTTCAGGTGCGAAAAGGCGCAACCGGTGCATGCATAGAGAGTATGTTTCTAACTACGAGCCAGGCCTTTTTCCTGCCTAAACAGGAATCTGCCTGAAAAGATTGGGTGCCCTTTTGGGTGCAGAGGCAGTGGGAAAGGCAGTGCCTCTATTCATGTGCGGAGTTGTGCTTTGATTTCAGTTTGGATTGGAGACAGCTGAGAAGTTGGGGCCGGAGAAGTGGGTGATGGTGGTGACTCTTGATGTGTGCAGAATGTGCTCTTTCAGGGAGGGCACCAGGAAGGGGCGTCTAGCTGGAGGTCAGCAGTAGTGGATCTCTCTCAGATCAATAAATCCACTGGCTGGACCATGCTTGTAGTTAACGAACCTGGTGTGTTTGGCTATGTTATACTACACGTCTTAGCATTCCCCAGCCAGCAAGCCTCAAGGCCACTGGAGTTCTTTGTTCTGTCTGCAACTCACCGGGATGTAACTTCCATCTTCATGAAGTCCGCTTCATCGCATGCGCTTTTCCTAGGAGACTGACAAGCGGAGGAAGCTTGCTTTCAGCCAGCCACTCGGGGGCTTGCCCGTGTGCTCCTTTCCATGTTATTGCTTTGATGTGGGTTTGTGGTGACGCTCCCTCATGTCCTTCCAGGGTGAGGTCTGCAGCATGATTAGCCAGAGGTATGTTGAGTTCCTGCCCAGTATGCAGAATGCCAAGGAACTGGAATCCCAAGTAGAGGAGTTGTCTGGCAACATTGACCAGCTGAAGTCCAGGATTGAGAATGAGGTGACAAAGCAGCACTGAATTAATGGGCCTTTGTTGGTGTGAGTTCAGCTCGTTTGAATAAGGATCTTAGAGCACAAGGACCCAAGCAAAGCCCTGCCTAACCCTAACCCATACCCAGGGCCCACCCGGAGCAGCACTCCATTTGCAGTGGCAAACCAGCTGCCCACAGGGTCCCTTGGGCAGGATAGGTGCAAGACCTCCCCCTGCCCAAGCTCCTCAGCAATTGGGGTAGGCAGGCCTCTGGTCAGTGAGGAAGCACATGCCCAGCAAGGCTAGTAGCCCTCGATAGCTGCCTCTTCTGTGAATCTGTCCAGTCCCTTTGTAAAGCCATCCAAATTGGTGGACATCACCGCTTCCTGTAGCAGTGAATTCCAGAAGTGCTTCTTTTTATCTGCCCTACACTCTCCCACCAGTCAACTTCATGGGATGACCCCGGGTTCACGTGTTATGGGAGAGAGAGTTTGCCTTTTTCACAGCGGCTGTGCACTGGGCCAGCATTTTAATCCAGCTTGGCCACCACCATCCCAATATCTCTTTCTTGCTCAGTCACTTCTACTTCAGGTCCCATCTGCCTGTGCTTGGACTGGGGATTTTTTTACCCCAGTATGTATTTGCTAGTACTATTTATTAGTAGTACTAAATAACCTAATACACAGAACTATTAGATGACTTCATCTTGAAGACTCTCATTTCATTGTTTGCATTTTTAAATAGTTATAAAATTAGAAAGTGTCTCCATCCACCCAACATCCTGACTTCAAGTTAAGGTAGCTCTTTGCAAATGCAATCAACAATAAAACCCAGAAACATTTAGACGCTTAGAGAATAATTAGAGCCCGGGGAAAATGTCTTTTCTGGCAAACAGAATAGAAAAAGCAATATGATGTGTATGAAGCCCGCTAAATTCTATTTGTGTCTCATGACTATCCATATTTCCGGCTTTTGTGGCCCCTTTCTAGGTCCAGCAGGACCTTAACGTGGCCATTGCAGAGTTTGCTGAGCTGAAACAACAGCTGGAGAGAGACACTCTGGTCCTGTGTGTGCTGAAACAGCTGCAGGAGGTGAGAGAGCGACCAGCGGCCTTCTCATCATGCCTCTTTCCCTTTGTCCGCGTTCAGAGCTCGTTGTCAACCACCAGGGTTTCCTCTTCCATGTCTTTTAGTTCGATGCAGCTCTGAAGCAGGTTAATGCCCTGTTGCCACAGAAGAAATATGTCCCAGCAGCCTGCCACCTGAACCAGGTATTTCTAGATTCCTCGGGGACTGGGGGGCGCACACAGGTGGCCACTGTTCCTCCTGGGCGCTGATGCCTGCCTCAGGATGGATGGCTCGGCTTCCAGCAGGCCTCATGTTCCCGCACGGAACTCTCCCTTTGCTCTCTGCCAGGCCCGGAGGGCTCTGAAGACGATGGAATCGCGGCGAGGCTTTGAGCTGAAGATTCTGAAGGCTCTCAGCAGGGAGGTCACCCTGCAGACCCAGAATGTCCTGTACCTCTTGGGGCAGGAGTGGCAGCAGATGGCCGTCTGGAAGCTTCCTCAAGCCCAAGGTTGAGCAGCTTGTTCGTGGCGTGCCCTTCTGTGGGAGGGTCATGGTGGGGAAGCTTCAGCACAGGCTGGCGGTTGGGAGAGCCCGTAACTCGGTGGTGGAGCACACTGTCCTGCGTGCAGAAGGCCGTGGGTCCAGCCCTGGACTCCTCCAGTGTTAAAAATGGCGAGCACGACCTTTTTCTGCTGGAGAGCCTGGGAGCCACAGCCAGCGAGGGCAGGCCAGCCATCCTCAGCCTGGTCCCTTTTAGATGCTTAGGAGTGCAGCCCTGCTGGGCCCCAGCCCCTGTGGCAGGACTTGTAGGCCAAACCTCTGGAGGATGCCAGGGGAGGGAGGGAGGGAGGAAGTACCCAGTACTGAGTTATATGGACAAGTTGTCGCATTGTGGTGGCCTGGCCTGCAAGCAGGAATAATGGTCCGAAGCCTTCCGATACTGTTCGCATGCCGCTCTTCACTCGTTTTTGTAAGATCTACACTTCAGCACTGCTAGCTTTGATTTTGGGGTCCCTCCCTGCAATAGACAGTGGGGTTCCATTCAGTTGGACTCCTGTTGAACTGAGCCTGGCCACCTCCTTTGTGGAACGGCCTGGGCAAGAGGCCAGGCACCAGCTGGGCTTCTCCATGTGGCAGTGTTGCAGCTCTTGATGAAGGGTGTTTGCCGTAATTTGTCCTGCACCTTTTTGTGTAGAAACTGGGAGCCTGGAGGCAGCCGTGGGGACAGAACTGCACCTGCGCACAGTGCTGCCTGAAGCGGAGCTGGTGGCCGGCGTGGCGGTGGCGTCTGTGCTTCAGGCCTTTGCTATCCTGGGCGAGCTGCGCTTGAGGTTCAAGCACTTCAGTAAGTCCTTCTGAGTCGCAGCAGCAGATCCCTGTCCTTCGTTTCAAACCTGATGGCGGAGGGCGTTTGCCCTTTTGGGCTGGACCATCATTCCCTAGATCCAGAGGTCAAAACCTCTGGTATCTGGACCTCAGGGTCCTTTTGCGTGATGAGAATCAGAGGCCCTTCCACACCATGCTCAAAGCAGTGTTGTCTTCGTCAGCTCCCGCAATGGGGGAATCAAAGCAAGTGCAGCATTGCTCTGATAGAAGGCAGTGTGTCCTAATTTTTCATGCATAGAATAGGGTGGTACAAAGGGTTATTCTGGTATGTGTAGACAAATGCGTAACTGGACTGAAAAGGGATGGAGTTTGGCACCATTTCTTGTCTGCCTTGGTGGCCACATTTTAGAGTTCCTGTCGCTCGCTCCAAAAGGGACTGCTCTTCCCACCCCAGAGGTAGCCGCACACCCACGGTTCTGGCAGGATCTTCCCCTGTGAGCTGAGTGGACAATTTGGGGAATGTCGCAGCAGCAGCCCAGGGGAAATGCCTCTTACTGGCCTCTTGTGCTTGGACCTTCAAGTCCTTTTGACAGCCTCCCATTCCCGTTCCCAGGCCAGTCACTGCTGAAGCACATACTCAGGCCGCTGGTCTGCCACGCCTCCCTGCGGCCCTTGCTGGAAGAGCAGCCCAATGTGGTCATTCTGCGGTTGGAGACAGCGGGCTCGGATCGTGGCCATGCACCGCCTGTGGAGGTGTTCGCAAAGGTCAAGCTGGTGTTTGAGGCCCTGCACAAATACCACCTGGGTGAGGAACTCCTCAGCGGTTTCCCTGGAGGGAAGGTGACATGGGCGATGAACGGGGGGCGGTTTCTCAGCACGTCAAGCACGCGAGTGCTTTCTCTAGCGCATCGGGGAGCCGCTGGGTGTTTCTGCATTCTGGTAACGGGAAGTCCTGGCAGAGAAGGCCGTCCCTGGCTGCCAGTCGTGAGGGCTAGGGCTGCTGGCAGTATGGCGGCATGCCCACTGCGGGAAAAGCCAAGCCAGGGGACGCTTTCGCAGCCGGGGCCTCTGGCTCGCGGGCCGACCACATGCAGCTGGTTGGCCGCTGAGTGGACAGAATGGCGGCATTCAGGGCCCTTCTTGCGTTCCCCAGGTGTTTCCCTGGAGCCCTGCATTGAGGAGGGGAGCAACTCAGTGCCTGCCTTGGCAGAGGTGTTGGGGGACCTGATCTGGAAGGAGCTGTCGGACTGCCTCATTCACGACTGCCTGGTGCACTCGATCCCAAACAGCAGCAGCAAACTGGGGCAGTACATCGAGGTGGGTGCCGCGTACTTGAGGGCCGGGGTGGGGTAGGAAGGGCGGGACAGGGAGAGACTGCCGGGACCTTAGTCAGATCTTCTTCCCTTTCCCTCTTTTTCCTTCTTAAAGTGCTGATGTAAAAGTTTACCTAGTCGATTAAAATGAACGGAGGGATTGTGCTCACAGGCTGCAGTTTTCCTGAGTGTACCTCTCTTAGTAGAGAGCAGACCTGCTCTCTCTTGGCTGCACGATGCTGGACTTGTGTTAGGACGCTGCTGCAGGGGCGGATGGGCGTGGATGCACTGCAGAGCAGAGCGATTAATAACTCTCTCACGCAGTACGGATTCCTAGAACAGCGGCTCGAGGGATGCACGGGCTTGACTCTCACTTGCCTCCCTGCCCCCTTCCGCAGGTGATTAAAGCGACCGAAGAATTCGAAAAGGCCTTGAAGGACATGCAGTTCTTGAAGGAGGAGTCCACCGACTTGTTGACGTACGCCCGCAACGTGAACTGCCATTTTGCGAACAAAAAATGCCAGGATGTAATAGTGGCAGCAAGAATGCTGATGACATCGGAAATACACAACACGGTCAAGGTACCCGACCAAGGAAGCTTCCGGCCATTTACTTACCTGGGGTTTTCTCAGATCCATTGTGTCATCTCCTTTGCATCAACCTTATGCTATTAAGTGATATGCAAATCGCTGAGATAAATAACGGGTACACTTGAAAACAAAAGTGAAACACCTGTATCCTACTTGCGTTTATTCCAGTGTGTGCAAATGCAGCCATGCGCTGGGTGTCATTAAAAGGGCTGTTCTAAGACTTGGAAATGCAGAGGCGCGAACAAAGCCCATCACGCAGGTTGCCTGCAACAGCTTAATAAGCCTGAGGCTTGGCTGACTCCATTAGAAACCTAGCCTGGGTCCACGAGGGTGGCTTCCCTGGTCCATGACAATCTCATTTTTAAGTTGCGCGTGTATTTGGCCCTTCCAGAAGTTCAGAGCCCCTTGCCTTTGCTTCCTCTTCTGGTCCTCCCCCAAAGCAGCGAGGGCCATGCAGTTTCAGCTCCAGTACCCTGGCATCGTGGTGGAGAAGGAGGCCTGAGGCGAACGTAGCACGCAGCTGACTTGGGCGATTCAAAGTCGCTTGCTCTGTCAGCACAGCCTGCCTCTCGTGCAAGTCGGCTGTGAAGACCCTCAGCGGGTTGTCGGAAGGGCAGGATGTGAATGAGGTGCAGTGCGGGGAATCCCCAGACCATTCGCTTGGCCCAGTAGCAGTGCAGAGTATGCGAATGCCAGTACTCTCTGCAGAGTTGCTTGAGGATCCCCGTGGACTTCAAACTGGCGATCCCGTCAATGGCTGACACCTGTAATGTGGCATTTGTCGTCTTTTAACTGCCATACTACCTTTTGTGGCAGAGATGAAAGACTCACAGAGGTGCTTCTCTGGGATTCAAGTGTGTCTGTGCCCCAGCTCCAGTTGAGCTGTCTTCTCCCTTTTCTGCTGTGCATTTTCTAGGTTAGCCCAGACTCCTCTGTAATTCTGCCTAAACTGCCTGACCCTGGAGCAGGTGACCAGGTAAAGGCGCTAGAAGCACCCAAGGCTCTTCCCAAACAGGTGATGAATCTGGAGAATGAAACAAAACTAAGCCGACATACCTTTTCGTTTCCCGCCTGCCGCATCAGCGACTCCGTCCAGAAATTGATGGCATTGGCGTATCAGACGCTGCAGGAGGCCTCAGACAGCACGGATCAGTGGTGAGCTGCGTCAAATTCTCTGGGCTGCACTTCTAAGGGAGTGAAATTGGTCGAAGCATTTATTTTTCAGCTGTGACTGCTTAGGAGAAGAGTGTAGGCACAGTCACCGGAGTTTATGGACGTTCGAATGTCTTCGTTGAGTCATTTCTGGTCAGTTGGTGCCAGGGGTCCCTTGCCTTGCAGTCCCCCTGAAACGCTTGCAAGTTGCTGAATACCCAGCGAGGACCCTTGAGATCCTGGGAACTACTTTAGAAAGGGCAGTAGAAGCAGAAAGGGAAAGGGGGTTACTGGGGGCTTGTGTGCCCAGGAATGGTTTGCAAAGAAGTCTCACGTTTGGCCAGAACTCTGCTCCCACCTCACCCCCTCCCAAAAAAGTGACATTCAATAATAGAGTTCTCACTCTTTTTTGGAGTTGATGCTGATTTATTTATTTATAATTTTGTGCCACTTGGTACGCTGAACTCCTGAAGTTGGTTCTGTTAAATACGCAAAGGAGCAGTGTAAACGCCAGGCAAGATAATAAATATTTTAAGAGCGTTACCAGAAACTGACAATTGTTTAGAGGTTAGGGAAGGCTTGTGTGAGCAGATACGCTTTCAGGGCGGGTCCAGAATCTGCCACCATTTGAGCCTCACTTCTGGCCCCTCCATCCCAGCAGTGGGCGCAGCTGCTCATTCGTGATGTTATTTGTGATGTTTCTTGGGTTAACGAAACCATTTTGAACACCTTCGGACTAGAAAGCAGGAGGCAGATATTCAGACGTATTTCATTTGCGTCACGTACTCCAGTTTCCTCTCCATCCCTGTTGATCTGGGGCTGTGCCATCTGTCCCAGGAGCAGCCTCGCTTGCACCTGCCAGGCACGCCGCTATCACAGGTTTTCCCTTTATTCCCAGAGACTTCTTTGAGCTGAGAAACTGCAGCTGGGAAACTTCTTTTAGCAGGTCTGCACAGCAAAGTGCCGCCCTCCTTCACCTGGAGTTCGAAGAGCGCTTTTTGCTTTTGAGCAGAAAACCTGGGCCTCAGTCCATTGCTCAGTGCCCACTCCAGGTTTATGAACCAGGCTCTCCTGCACAAAGGGGCAGGTAGCTTTGAGGGACCCTGCCTGTGGCCGGTCCCTCGAGACTTCACAAGGGCATGGCCCGGGCAAGCGTGGTGTTGTAATTCTGCCGCAGCTGTGCTGCTTCTAGCTGGCCAGGACCTGAAACTCCGTTTCTGCCTCTCCTCTCCCCCTTGCAGCTGCATCCAGCTCTTCTACGCAGTGCGCAACATGTTCCAGCTCTTCTGCGACGTGGTGCCGACATACCACAAGTGAGCGGGGGCTTGGCTGATGGACAGCTAGGGCTGCGGAGGGGGCCGGTGCGGCTCTGCTGTATCCCCAGGGAGGCTCACCCGGTGCCCATCAGCCGACGGCCTGTCCGCCTTCCCGGACTTGTCGGTCGTTCAGTCTCACGGCGTTGGTGTCGCTTCGGGTCCGGCTGGCTTTTGCTTTACTCTTGTTCTGTTCGGCCTTGTTTTTATCCTGCTGTGCTATTGCTTTTATAGTTTCTCAGTTTTGTTGTGTGAGTTCCCCGTGGAGCTTTAAAGGCACGCGTCTTCCCGGACCAGCCTTCCCGGGCCGGGTGCTCTCCAGGTGTGTCGGACGGCCATCGCCTGCGCATGGTGGGAGTGGTGGGAGGCTAGCGCAACACACCTGGAGGGCACCAGGTCGGGGAAGGCGGTCCTGGGCTGCCTTCACTCTGCGACCTCCCCTGCCCCTTCCCCTCTGGGGAGGCAGGACCGGCTCCTGAGCCGCCCCTGGGAGCCTTTGGCTGGCCGCAGCTTGACTGCGCATGCAAGGCTGGGCGGAGAATGTGCCCCCCCCCCCGCCACAGGGGCCCGTGCTGCCTTGGTACCGTCACCGTCCGGAGATGGCGCTTCCCGTGGGGGCCGGGCTGCCTGCTGCTGCTCCTGCGCCGAGGGCTCTCGGGAAAGGTGGCGCAGGCATGCTGCTCCGTGAACCCGGGGGCCGGGTCTCCTTTCGGTGGCCGCAGCTGGAGGGGCGTGCCGAGCCGCGTGTGGTCTGGCCGCCTCCGAAGCCTCAGCACCGCGGCTGCCCCGCTTCTCTCGCCCTCCACAGGGAGAACCTGCGGACGCTTCCCCAGCTGGCCGCCGTGCACCACAACAACTGCATGTATGTCGCGCACCACCTCCTGACCCTGGGCCACCGCTTCCGGGGCCGGCCGGGGGGCGAGACGGCCACCTTCGTCGACCTGGTGCCTGCCTTCAGGAGGCTTGGTGAGCCTGCGGCACGCCCCCGGGCTGCGTCCGTGCCTCCAGCCGGGCGGCTTCGGCGGCAGCCTCCGAGCCCGAGGCCCGAGGCGGCCCCCGGGATGACGTTGCCCTAGCGTGACCCTCCTTGCCCTTCCCCAGCGACAGAGTGCTTCCTGGCCCAGATGCGCGTCCAGAAGGGGGAGCTGCTGGAGAGACTCTCGGGTGCCAGGAACCTCTCCAACATGGACGACGAGGACAACTCCTCCGCAGCCAGCAAAGCCGTCCGGCAGGTTGGTGGGGCCGGGTGGGGCCTGTGGGCGAGGAGCCCCCAGGCTGCAGCTTGGGAGGCGCCACCCCGCTCCAGCACAGTAGGTGACGCCGTGCCGCTCTGGCCGTCGGGGCGGCCGCGAGCCATGGGCTGGCTCTCCCCTCCACGCAGCGCCCACGGCCCTGTTGCACAGCCCCCCCGCCCTTGAGGGAACCGCACCGGGTGGCGGCAGCAGCCCCACAACGCCATCGCGCAGTGCGTGAAGCAGGGCTTGCGGCTGTCCCTGCACCACTGCCCAGCGCGAGCGGCAGCCACAGCCCCTCCGGTTCTGCATCATGCGCCGATTTCTACCTTCGCCCCGCCCCCAAGCCATGTGCCCCTTTGTCTGCCAGCCTGGAAGCCACTGTCCTGGTGCGTGTGTCCCGAGACCAGAAGTCACTGCCCTCTCCCTCCTAGGTCCTGCACCAGCTGAGGCGGCTTGGCAAGGTCTGGCAGGACGTGCTCCCGGTGAACGTCTATTGCAAGGCCATGGGGACGCTGCTCAGCACAGCCGTCGGTGAGATCGCCCACCGAATCATCGCCCTGGAGGTGAGGGTCACGCGGGTGGCAGGTGTTCTGCACGTCCAGCCGTTCCTCCTTGTGAGAGCAGCCCGCTCTCCACAGATCTTGTCCAAATTTAGACCTGCTCGAGTGGATCGGTGTTGCCGTGGTTCCCGGAAAGTGATCTGAGCCCAGGCGGACTCCTGCCCATGGTAGAAGTTCACATTAGGGGGATCAGGGAGCTCTGCTCTTGAACATGTGGTCACTTAAGAGAAAAACCCTTCACGGGCATCAGAGGTTAGGCCGTGCCCGCTCGGCTTCTCGACCGAGTCTCCCGATGGGCTTTGTCTCCTTGCGCTGGGAAGCCGGTCCTGCGCAGGTGCATTGAGCGCCATCCCTGCAAGAGGAGCTTCGGGCTGCCCTGGGCAAGTGCCTTCTCCCAGTGTAAGATGCGCACTGGGGGCACGCTGAAGGCTGGGCCGCGGGTTCCGGGGCTGCTGTCGTCCCGAGGCGCTGAGGGCCACGCGGACGTCGACTGCTCGGGTTCCGCTTGTCCCTTGCAGGGGTCCTAAGCGTGCTGCTCAGAAGAGTCGGGTGCAAATTCCTTGGTGGGTCGAAGAGAGAGCCTCGGGGATTTCCATAGGAGGGGTTGGGGTGGGCAAGCAGAGGTGGCGTCCAGTCCTTCTGGCCAGGGAGGACGCACCACACTGCGTGGGGGACCCGTGCAGCGGCCTCACCTGGCCCTTCTGTCCCACTGGCTCCCCCTCTCTTTCACGCTGCAGGACATCTCTGCGGAGAACGCGGACCGGCTGCACGCGCTGTGCCAGACGGTGGTGGACGAGGGCCCCTCCGTGTTCGCGCCCCTGCTGGAGGAAGAGCAGAACAAGCGCTTCCGGGAGGAGGTCCCCGTCTACGTGCCGAAGTGGATGATGTTCAGGGAGCTCATGCTGGTGCTGCAGGCCAGCCTGCAAGACATCGTGGACCGGTGGGTGCTGCACGCCCCCCCGCCCCCGCTCGTCTGGGTGGGAAGTGGGAGCAGGGAGGATGAGGAGGAAGAACTGAGCAGGCAGCTGAAGAGCAGCGCTGGGATACTTCTGCTCACGCGTCATTTATGCCTGCTTCCAGTAGGATGTTTTTACCCCGGAAACCCAAGTTTTGTTCCCCATAATAGTGCAAGCCCTTTGCTCACTCTCATTTATTCTACATAGACCAAATTGCTGGGTTGTTTTGCCACTTGGCTTTAAAAACAAAAAGAGGAGGTGGGAGGAAGCAGAAGTTCAGGGAACGGGCAGAGGTCAACAAGGGGCAGCGGCGAAGAGGCAGTGCGGGGTTTTAAGCTCCGGTGCATGAACCAGCGGGAGGCCCTGGGCGACGGGAACAGGAAGCCCCCTGGGCCATGAGCTCCCTCTCAACCCTTCCCCTGCTCACAGCTGCTTCGGTAACAGCTCCTGCCCTTTTCCTCCTTCCCTTCCCAGGTGGGCAGACGGCAAAGGTCCTCTTGCAGCTCAGTTCTCCCCAAGTGAGGTAAGAAACCTGATCCGAGCCTTGTTCCAGAACACCGAGCGGAGGGCAGCCGCCCTGGGAAAAATCAAGTAGCTGCGCCAGCATCTCGTCCGAACTCTTCCTGGATGTGCTGCAACCGCGTCGCTGTGGCCATCGCTTGTCCAACTTGACCTTCTCCGCGTCTAAAGTACTTTTTGGCATCTGTGTGCAGGTGTTTCCCAAAGACCTGGCCTACCTGTTGGGAAGAGCATCACCTGACCCCGTGCCCAGGCCAGCACAGGAACGGTGTGATCCTCACCCCGCAAAGCTAGCTTCCCAACAGGATGTGGCCCCAGTGCACTCGGGCCCCAGACGGAAACCTCGCGAGTGGCCCTTGAACGCCCAGGGCCTGCGTACCGATCTTTCCAGTCCTGTCCTTTCCCGTGCTGGGTGCTTGGCGAGGCCTGTGGGAGCCCGGAGGAGCAATGAGCCACGGCGCAGCCTCCTCCCGGGACGCAGGCATTCCGCCGACAGGCTGGTCTGGGGATCCTTGCGGAACAGCATCTATGCAGCTTCTCACGGGAGGCTCACTTTGCGCGTCTTACCTCGTCTCTCTTGCAAACGGCCTCTGAAGCACACTAGACTTGAAAAACTGCTCCACGGCCCTCGAAGTGCCAAAGCATTACAGATTTGCCTGCTGCTCCCCTTTGGGGACTTCAGGAGCAGGACTCGGAGAGAGGATGGGCAGAGTCAGGTGTCCAGCCCCTCTCTGTGTCCGCCACGCACAGAAACAACATGTGGAAACGGAGATAGGGATCACACTACCAGTGCAGCCTTCAGCGTTGAGTGCACCCCGGTATCTTGGAATATCTGTGCATCTGCAGGAAAGCCTGCGCTTTTCCAGGGTCCTGGAAACCAGGCAAGCTTTTGTGCCAGTCACGTCCAGCTCCCAGGGCAGAAGCCAGGCTGAGCGCACGGATACTCTGGGATGCGCAAGCTGTTGGTTGGGGTGAGCAGTTTAGTTCTGCTGCTCGGTTTCCAAGTGCAAAAGCTGCCCTTGGAATATCTCTTGCAAGGCTTTTCTCAGTTCTAGCTTTCTGCTTCGCTTAGCGTCTGCATAATGGATCGAGACTGGCTGCCCCGGAACCGGCTCTCCTCTCAGGTGGGCCAGGCACGCGCGCTCCTCTCTCCCGTTCTTTATGTACTGACCTAGAAGTCGGCCGTACAGACGACTCTGATCTTTTGACAACTGGCAGATGCATTGTGCTCTGGCAGCACAGTCCACCCCACCTTGCACCTTCCTCATTTTCTCACTCCTCCCCTCCCAGAGGCCCAAAATCAACCACAGCCCTGCTTAGTAGAGACGTCACTGGTGAAAAGCATGAAGAGAAAGGTGGGTGGGGAAGCTGCTGGACGGGGCACCTCTTAGAACCTATTTTGAATTCTGTTGCGATGAGCTCTTCTGTTCCTTCCAGAAACAGTTGTCTTTTTGGAGTTCTGCTGTGGAAGTAAGGAAATATGCATACAAAGCTCTACCCAGTGACACCGTGTCCCTTATTTTGTTGCGTGGGGCAGGGCGGGGCTTGGCTAGGGCTGGAGTCAGGGCCTGGTGATTGGCTAGGGGCAAGAGGGCCGTGGCTTGCCAGTAGCACCCTACTTTGCAGGCAGGAAGGGGCAGGTTCAGTCCCCAGGAGCATGTCCAGGTGGGGCAGGAAGGAAATCCGCTCGAAACCTGGCAAGCCACTGCTGCCGGTCAGTGCCGACAAGACTGGACGGACCCAGAGTCTGACCGGCTGCAAGGCAGAGTCCTGTGTTTCTGGGTGCGGGGAATTTGGCTTGTTCACAAGTCGGGAGCTAAGAACGCCTCATGTTTAAAGCCAGTGTTTCTACTGCACAGAGTTGGGGTAAATAAGCGCCTGCTACTTGATGTCAGAAAACAGAGTGTTTTTCCTTGTCCTGTGCCACCTTTTCTCTAAAAAGTTCTGAGCCGTGTAAGTTTTCTGCGTGAGAGGTGTGTACTTTGGCATTCTCTTTCCTCCTCTGTTCATCTTCCTGTTCTATTGTATTCTTTTTAAGATGGAATGATTAGAAGTGCCAACCATACAGAAACATAAAAACATAGAAACAGAATGAGTCAGAAGGGGCCTCCCGGGCCATCTAGTCTGACCCCCGGCCCCAGTTGGCTCTGCTCACAACTATGCTAAGGTGGGTTGAGCCATGAATAAGTATAGACGCTTTATGCATTGGCAGTGACGTTTTCTATTTTTTGCTAATGATTCCCCGCAAGAAATGCATCTTTTGGTGGTCGCTGTTTAATATTTCTATTGCTCTCCCCATGATAATGCAAAGAATTCTGCCCTGCCAGGGAGGATGTGCCCCCCCCCCATTCAACCCTTTATATTAACTGTCATAAAACTTCACTTGCCATTGAACTGCCAATTCCACCAACGGCCAATGTGTTGCTTCCCCCTCCAGCTAAAAGTTGCTGGTGACGCCACCAGCCCGATGACTTAGATTTTGCAAGGCCATTCCCCTTCTCTGGATTTGCCAGAAAGCTTGTGTATTTCACAGGGAGGTGGGGTTGTGGCCAAGACGTGGGCAAAGATGGGCTCATCTCCATGGGTTCTGGAGTTGGTCTGCTGAAGCAGCCTTGAAGAAGGGCATTCCTGCAGTGCTCAGGAGAAGACTCGCCGGTCGCAGCCGTAGGTGCTTCTCGGGAGTGGGCCCTTGGTGCGTGAGACATGCTCTGCTTCCAGGGATGCGCTTTGGTGATCAGTAGTTCTGCAAGGCAACAGGGCAGAGTCCGTGACAAAGTGTTGGAAGCAACTCATAACTGCTCTGTAGAGAAAGGAAACGCTAGGATTTCCAGCTTGTGAGGACAAGCAGGCCTGCCCAGTGCCCTCGAAGCAGCGGGTACACTGTTGGTGCCCAAGGGAAAGATGCCGCCACCTGCAGGGAGCTGGATTTCACTTCAGCGGTGGCACAGGGTCTGCGTCTCCCGCTGCATCCGAGGGCAGTGGTTTGTTGGAAGGGTGTGGGGAGCCCTCGGCTTCATTTCCCCAGCGCCCGGCCGCTGCCTGAGGCCCCGTTCCGCCTCCTGGCAGAGCTGGCACGTCGGGAAGCGAGGAGGCAGTCCCCACAAAGCAGCCGGGGGGCTGCGAGGGCTGATCGGGCTTAGGGATTCGGACGGACCCTTGGGGAGGCCTGGCTGTGTTTGCTCCCCTTGGGTGGAGTGTCTTTGCCGAGTGTGGGGAAGGAGGCGTGCTAATTGAGCTGTGCAGCTGGACAGCCCTCAGTGGGACGGTTGAGCCTGGGAGGCCTTGGGGGCTGCCCCCAGTGGCCCTCTGGCCCCTTCTTGGCCTGGAGGGCCGGAGAGGAGAGGATCCTGCTCCCCCTCTCGATCTGCCGTGAAAGGGGCTTCGCGCTGCCGTAGTCTGGCCCCTTGAGAGAGGTCCGAGAAAATACTTCTGTTGCAAGGCCTGCTGGTTCGACCCGCATCTGGGAACAGAAGGGTCGCGCTCTCCCCTTTGATGTTTCTTCAGGCCGGTGTTCCACGTGGACACGGTGCAGAGGACTCCTCGGCACACGGCGAGCTTGGGGCTCTTGGCGCAGCCTCCCTGCGGCTGCTGGGGGAGGACGGCTCCCCTTTCTCGCGGCCGCTCCGTCTCCAGGATGCCTGTGGCACGGCTGCGCCCCTGGCTCAAGCGGCCCGGGGTGGTGCCAGCCGGCCTCCGGCTGCTCTTTGCTCACCTTAATCACGTGGTGGATCCAGTCCAGGAAGGCCACCACCTTGGTGTAGATGCAGGGGGCCTCAGGCTTCCCGCACCCAGCACCCCGGCCCCCAATGCCCATCAAGCGCGGCACGTGTTCAGACTCGCAGACCAGGGGGCCCCCACTCTCGCCCTGTCGAGACGAGACAGTTGCAGGGTTAGGGTCAGCACCCCGGCCTTGTTCGGTCAGAGGAACTCCCCTCTTGCCCTGCCTTCCTCCTGCAAAGTTGCTGTACAAACACGGCATCCAGGAGGGGGGAAGAGTTCCCCATCAGAGGACTGGAGAGAGCCAGACACCATCTCCTTGTGAAATGCTGCTGCCGGAGTGCTAGGCAAGAGGGACAGTTCGGCAAGGCGCTAGTCCTCAGGCATTGAACTGACGCACAAACTGTTGCCACAAGGGGGCCTTCGGGAGCTTGGCCAGCTGGATTTCTGGCATGCGTTTTATTTCGAGAAGCGGTTGGCACTTCTACTTGTGCAGATCTAAAGAAAGACGTGCTGGTGCTATTTTGGCCTGCTGCTCAAAGCGCCCCTGCCTTCTGGCATTTTGGGGGGCCCCTCACCTCTGACCAGAGATGATGCCTGTTGTTAAAATTTCGTAATACCATGAATTAATGTCACTGCAGCTGGCACAGGGCAGTGCTAGGTACTGAAAAGATGGGAGAGCCTCAAGCCCCCGGACAAAAACGAAGCTCAGATGTGCACATGCAGATTCACATCAGTTCTGAAGTCCACTGAGGACCCTCCCCCTTAGGACACCCCTATTTGCAAAAAGCTGCGTATGCCCAGGGCGGAGGAGAGCCCTGGATTTCAGAAACAGACTGAGGGTGGGGCCCAGCCACGTATCGGCCCCCCTGAAAACACAAGACCCCCTGTTCCCAGCCGTTACCTTGCAGGCGGTGATGTTTCCGTCCACGCAGCAGTGGACGCACAGCATCCGTGGGGAGAGCTTGCCACACGAGCTGCTGCCATCCCGGGGGTTCACCGCTGCCACCCACGCTTCCCTCGGCATCTCGGCTGCGGGCACCGTGGCTGCGAGACAAGCAGAGCCGTCCTTCCCCGCCCCACAAGGGCCCGACTGCCGGGGAGCGAGGGTCTCCCGGGCTTTCTCTGCAACGTGTCCCTTTATGGGGAGGACTGGGGAGAGTGTGGCCCAGCAGTGAGAGTGCTGGCTCGGGACTCCGAGGCCTGGGTTCAAATCCCCCCTGGGCAGCAGGCTCACTGGGTCAGCCCCACCTCCCTTGCAGGGCAAAAGATAACGTGGCGAAGAGGGGCATGGTACGAGCCCCCTTGGATTCCTTGCGAGGGGAGATAAATGTGACGCAAATTTTATTTATTTATTTATTTATTTATTTTTCAATTTATGTCCTGCCTTTTTCCTACAAAGGGCTCAAGGCGGCTTACATCATTCGCTGCCTCCATCTTATCCCCACAACAACAACCCTGTGAGGTAGGCTGGGCTGAGCGTCTGTGACTGGCCCAGTTGGCTCCGTGGCTCAGCAGGGACTCGAACCCAGGTCGTCCGAGTCCCAGTCCCGTGCTCTTAACCACTACGCCACACTGGCTCTCATGCATGGTATGATAATACATTGAGAACCCAAAAGGCTTGCGTTCAGAAAGATTGGTGTTTGTAAGCAGGGATTCTGCTCTGGCTTTGGTATTCTGAAGAAACGATCAGCAAAGCCACGTCTGGGGGTGGGGAGAGGTCTACCAAACCAAACCAAACCAAACCTGGGCCGCCATGGTTTCAGGCTTGGATAAAGGTATTTTCTGGGGAAAAGCTGAGCCGTACTTTCAAAATGGTAAAGAACAGTGGCCTTTTCACATCTCCCTGGCTGAATGTGCATCCGGGCAACGGTTTTGGTGTGGAATTCCTCGCTCACCGGGCGGCAGCTCCTCCTCACGGGTGAAGGACAGGGCTGGCCAGCCTCCTGGTGGATGTTTACCGTTTTCCAGCCATGAGTTGTCTTGCGCCAAGATCCAGCAGGAGCCGTTGTCGAGGTGGTCGAAAGGGCGCTGAGGCAAGCAAGCAGCCCGGACAGTCTCTGGGTTGGATGGCATCAGAGGGGAAGAGACGTGGTCTGGTGACCCTGGGTACTGCTGGGCCCCACGCGGGTGGGCCGAACGCCCCGAGTCCCACGTGCCTCCCACCCTTGGCCGCTGGCAGCGAATCTGTAGCTCACGGCGGGGCCCCTGCTCTGCGTGCCCAAGGCACTGGGCTCCGCCTGGCACTTCCAGGGAGGCCTGGAAAAATTCCTGGCGGGAGCGCTGGTGGGGCCCGGCCAGCGCACCTCACCACGCGTGGATCGAGGGCCGGGTTCTGCAGAAGGCGGCCTCTTCCCATGTTCCTAAAGCTGCACTGGAAGCAACTTGTCCTTCCCAGAGATTCTCAGACATATGCCTTTCCTGTGCTGCCAGTATGACAGACTGGGCAACACGGCGGCCAGGAGGAGGAGCCCCTGTGTGCAGTCGCCTTGCGGGGCGAGCCACCGGACTAGCTTGGAAGGCCTTCCTGCTTAGTGGAGGAACTGCAACAGAAGGTTGCAGCGCAGGCTGCTCCTCTGGTCCAGCCCCGCCTTTTCTCCAGCACAGGCCCTTGGATTCGCAGCCTTCCCTCCCGCTCTGTCAGTCACCCACCTGACCTCCCTCCTACCCTCCCTCAGGCTGACCCCCATGGCAGCCTCCAGCCAGAACGGCCTCAACGTCGGAGCGAACTCACCGGAGAAACGCAGCGGCTCCTTCAGCTTCAGCAGAGCAATGTCGTCGTCGTGGCGCCTGCTGTCGTAACCGGGATGGGGCACCACCATCTCCACTTCCCCACCGGAGTGGGCATCCAGCCCGACCAGGGCCGACCAGCTGGAAAGCAGGAGGGGCCTGCAGTGGGAGAAAACGCTCAGCCTTCCCGGCTGCTCCATTCCGCCTTGCCAGGCTGCTCCGCTAGTAAATCAAATTGGGGCCGGCCCGGGAGGGTGGAGAGGCCAGGCGTTCCTGAGGGGGAGGTATCCGCCACTCCGCCAGCCTCGCCAGCCCGGTGCTTTCCAGATGTTTTGCCCCCTGTGTGCACTGCATGCAGGTCCACGTCTCCATCTGGCGCGGGTTCAAGCACAGCAGTGGGCAGCCCGGCTGCTCGAAAGCAGCAATGCTCTTGATTTACAGGTGGGGAGCTGGGGGGCTAAGCTGACCGTGGCCGGTAGCGCTTTTCTGAACTCTCCTCTAAACTCTGGGAGATCAGAAGCCCTCGACCTGCGAACCATCTTGAGACCTTCCGGTAGATTCTGACTTGCGGTCCTCTCCCCCATCCTCGAACCCCCAGTTAACGCTTTTATTCTGGGCTGGGATCGACGCATGCCAGGCAATGCCGGCTGGTTGTCCAGCAAGGTAAGTGAGGGCCCCGGATGAGAGCTTGGCCGACACCCGCCTTCCTGCAGATTTCCTCACCGGTCAACGCAGTGAGCAGCTGTGACTATCCATCTGGCTGACACCACGGCGCCTCCGCAGACCCGGGTGGCGTCAAGACGAAGGCTGACCTGCCAGGGCCAGCGTCTCCGGGATGCCATGGAGTGGGTGCCATGCTCTGTCAGGGGGATAAAGGGAGCCTCAGTTCTCAAGGGCCCCGAGAGCAGAGCAGCCCTTGCTGGCCGGCGGCATCGTGCCTTCACCCGGTGCCCGCCCTGTGCTTGGGACATCGACCCCCTTCCCGCACCCGGTTTCCTTCCCTCCGTGCCTGCTGCCGCTTTCCGTCCCAGTCGGATGCCTTGCCTGGAAAGCTCTGCCCAAGCTCAGCCACAGCGGAAGTAGGACGAGAAGCTGAATATCGGCAAGGAAGCACGAGTTTCGTTTTGTATGCAAAGCTTGCCTTCCATTCTCTTTGAAATGGGGAAAGCTGGCAATGTCAGGCAAGACGGAGGGGAGGAATTCACTTCTTGAGGACAAGTCAAGTTAGCAGAAAGGCAATTCCTGGAGAATCCAAGCTGCCCCGAGCACCTACCAGAACACTTCAGAGCCACAATTCGACCCGAAGGGCATCTGCTCCTGCAGGGAATGAATCGGCAGCTTAGTCTAAGCGGTGAAGCCCGCCAGATTTCCTTCCAGAGACCTGGAGAAAGCCTCTTTCCACAGAATCCTCTTGCAGCACATACCACAATTCCCACGGCCTTCCCATGGCCAGGGCCGCCTCTGGAAGCGAGTGCCGAATCTTTTTCCGCCCGTGGGCCAGATTCCATTTGGAAAAGCCCTCGGGGAACCCAAAACATTTCAGCCTAAATCTCTCACGGCCATTAACTAAGCTTAGGAAGGGGCAATCCAGCCACTCGGCGTGAAATAGGGAAAAGCCAGGAAAGCCAAAATATCGGTGCTTTGGAGAAAGAGGGTGGCGTCCTCTGGGACACACCCCAACAATTTGGACTGGGGCCCCAGAACTGAGAACACTCCTCCTGTGTGCACTAACCTAACAGAGCTTTGCTTCACATGAACTGAGGTAGAGCTTGGATATTTGCATGCTACTTTTCACTGAAAATTTCTCAAAGAATAAGGTAAAACTATCCAACTTGACTGGCCGGAGCCGAGGTGCCAAATACCTAGAGAATACCTGAGCAGGGGAGAAAGCCTTAAAGAAAGACGGACTTTCTGTAAGAAAATACCTGTAGGGGTGCCCAGTGCAGGATGCCTGGTCTTGCGTCTGGCGGAGTGGATGCAACGGGAGCCTGCCCGCATGGGTACCCACCTGATCTGCCACCCATCTTTGGCGCTCTTCTTCCAGTTGGGCACAATCTGAAGAAACTCTTGGGAGCTGCTCACCTTCACGTCCGTGAGGTTCACCCCTTTGTGATGGGCGAGTCTGCAGGAATGACAAGGGAAGGCGACTGTGCTTGAGCTCGCTGCTTTTCTGGCCCTGGCTCCCAGCTGAGCAGCGGGGGAAGCTGCCCCAGGGCCCCTGGATACAAGCTGCCAGGCTCCCAGGCTGTGGACGATCAGGGAGAGCAAACAGGAATTTGGTGGTGGGGTTTGGCAGAGGGGGTCACGAACAATTTTCCCTCCTTTTCTCTGTCTCCTTAGAGCTTGGATATTTGCATGCTACTTTTCACTGAAAATTTCTCAAAGAATAAGGTAAAACTATCCAACTTGACTGGCCGGAGCCGAGGTGCCAAATACCTAGAGAATACCTGAGCAGGGGAGAAAGCCTTAAAGAAAGACGGACTTTCTGTAAGAAAATACCTGTAGGGGTGCCCAGTGCAGGATGCCTGGTCTTGCGTCTGGCGGAGTGGATGCAACGGGAGCCTGCCCGCATGGGTACCCACCTGATCTGCCACCCATCTTTGGCGCTCTTCTTCCAGTTGGGCACAATCTGAAGAAACTCTTGGGAGCTGCTCACCTTCACGTCCGTGAGGTTCACCCCTTTGTGATGGGCGAGTCTGCAGGAATGACAAGGGAAGGCGACTGTGCTTGAGCTCGCTGCTTTTCTGGCCCTGGCTCCCAGCTGAGCAGCGGGGGAAGCTGCCCCAGGGCCCCTGGATACAAGCTGCCAGGCTCCCAGGCTGTGGACGATCAGGGAGAGCAAACAGGAATTTGGTGGTGGGGTTTGGCAGAGGGGGTCACGAACAATTTTCCCTCCTTTTCTCTGTCTCCTTAGGACCCCCCTCCCCCTTTTCTATTTTGCAACACACTCCCATTTACAGGAAGGGCCGTGTTGCTAACCTTTCGTGAAGGCAGGAGAAAGCACCGGGTGTCACGACAGCCCACCAGGGCAGAACTACAAAGGTACCCTGAAGCTGATATTCCAGTGACCCAGAAGAGGTGGAGCATCAGGATGAGCTTGGCAAATTCCCAGGGAGCAGGATCCCCGGTCAGCGCAAGGACTCTTCATTGGCGAAGAATGGCTGTTGCGCCACTTACCCGCTGTGACCCATCTGCCTGCAGAACTTTGTCCCCAGGGAGACGTCCCAGTTCTCATGGCACAACAGAAGCCAGCTGGAGCGACCTTCCACCTGAACCTCTAACAAGAAGTTGCTTCTGTTTACTCTGAAAAACACTGAAAGGATTGGAGAAGCAGCTTGCTCATGTCCCGGGGCCTTTCCAAGCCCGGGCCTGCATGATGCCGGGGACAGTCGTCAGCATCAAGAGAGTGAATTTTTTCTGCAGCCGCGCACCAACTTTGCCACATCCACTCTTACCTGCTATCAATGCAGAGAGACATTTAATTTACGAGGCATCCAATAACTGTAAGATGGAGTGATGGTTTAACTAGGAGGTCTGCAATGGGCACGTGGCTGGACCCTCTGGCCCCACCCAACTCCACTCTTCTATGATTCTGTGAATAATTTCTTGTTTCAGGCAAGAACACATTTTTGCATTAACCTTGCACAATTTTAGTGAGTTTGACTGCTTTCTTTTTATTCCTGCATCTTCGCTATGATTATAGATAGAGATGCAGTAATACTTCCTCCTATTATCCTTATTCCTCCTATAAGGAGGAGGGGTGGTACAATTCCTTAAAGTAAATTTAAAAATTCCTTTTAAAAAATCCTGTTGAAGGAGTTGAACAGAACTCTGTAGAATCTTGGGCAATTTCAGGGGGCAGTTTCTGAGAAAGACCGAAGAAATGAATTCTGGCAGAGGCTTGCAAAATGCTTGCCTCTCCCCCTCCCTCTGTTTGAGTTTGAGCAAGGGCGCAGGGCGAACTGTCAAAAGGCTGGGAAGCATCTTCGTGAACCTCAGAAAAGCTCATTTGCTCTGATAAGCAGCTTCTCGGCACATTAGTCATCCTTGGTTCACATAAGCTTGGATGCGGCAGTCTCTGGCCTTTCCAGACCAGGGACCAACCGAGCTTTCAAAATGGCATGCTTTTAGATCTTGGCACACTGGCTGGCTTTTACCCTGGTTTTGCTCTGGCTTTATTCTATTTCCAACTCAAGATGTTCCAAGGGTGTTCCCCTACATTGCCACACTGTGTGGTTTGCTTTGTGAGCTGTTCAGAGAGCTCCCGTGGAGAGAGGGGAGGTCATCTGAGGGGGACGTGGTGTGGAGGGGCAGACACTACCTCTCTCGCCACTGGCACTTCCCAAGGGCGGTCCGGGGCTCTTCTCCTCTCCTCTCATAGTGCTGGTGCACTTTGCCGCAGCAGCTTCTGTGTGCAGGGGGATTCCTGGTTCTTGAAGGTGGAAGGGCTTCAGCAACAGTTTCACTGGGGGAGAGAAGACAGCAGGAAGGTGGATGGAGTCGGCCTGCAAAAAGCAAGGGAGGCAGCAGGAGCTGCTGCCGGAAAGTCTTGGCTCTCCACCCAGGCAGTCTGTACTCACCCAGGAGCCAAGCACCAGCAGCTGCTCCAGCCAGCAAGCCGAAGATCGCCAGCAGGGCCAGGCGTCTCTGGAAGGCGTAGGCACTGGGCGCAAGAGCCGTTTCTGATGGTGGTCGAGGCCAGAGGAAAAAGCAACAGGATTACAGGGGCTGACGTACAGGGGAAGCGCTGCAGCGTCTCCATGGTCAAGCTCCTGCAGGGTTCTGCAAGGAGGACCGGGTTCAGCCCCAGGACGGGACCTGCTGAGAGCTGCTGAGCAAATGCCAGATGGACCCTGTGTTCCTATACAGCTCCTTGCATGCTGGGCTTTATTCAGGAAGCATCTGCCAAAGGAGGAAAGCCAGAACCAGGAAAAGAGAACCAGAGAAATGTGCCACAGGTCCCAAAAGGCGAAGGGTCCATTTCTTCCCCCCACCCAGCATTTGCAGACCCAGGCCATGCCCGGATCAAGCAGCTCACCATGCCCTGGGGGCTCCAGTGCTCTCCTTTCCCCCCTTGACTCCGTGGGGCCAGGCTTGGCTCTTTGAACCTAAGGGTCAAAGTGCATTTGGCATGGATTCACAGTCACGAACATGGGGGAAGCAGCATCCTTGCAGCCCGAAAATAGATTACAGCAAAAGTTTTTCCAGCGAGATCCTGCTTTGCTCAGAGTTGTCTGCACTTGGGGACTGCCTGTCTGTCCTTCCACACACACGTGTCTGTGATCAGCAGTCCCAATCCGTGTCTCCAAGCTCCAGCCCAGTGCATCCAGTGCGACTCTGCTCCTGCTCTGCCCCCTTCACTGCCCCCCCAAACCATCTCCAGTTCTAGGCCATGCGCGCCATTTCCTCTGCAGACGCTTGCTGCCCACTGAGCAAGCCGCGGCATGGCAGTTTGGGGAGCCACGTTTGCTCTGCTCTCTGCTGTTTGCACCTGTGGAATTTGTGCAACCCTGTCCACATTTATTAGCTCGAGTGCGCACCCCCCAAAATGCTCAACTTGGCCAAAACTCTGCATAATCTCTATCGATGCATATTTTCATGCTCTGCTCAGTGGGCTGATTTGCCTATTTTTGATTAGAGTTTTTCATTTTGCATTTTCTTCTGTGGCTCACTCTGGAGAAAAAAAAGCAACATTAAAAATAGGTCAACATATCTGGAGGCCGTCAGGTTGGGGAAGAGGGAGATGGAGCTGTTGGGGTAAGCGGGTAAGCTTTGTCTCCAGGTTCTCCGTTCTTCTGGGCCTGCCCCCTGTGGGTGGCCACAGGCAAGGTGCCCCACCGCACGGGGCACTCCTGAGTCCGCCCAGGCATCCAGCTTGTGCAAAAGCGAGAGGGAAAATCAGCAGGGCCTTACCATCGCAGGGACTGCCAACCCGCTGGAGGACAGCCGGTGCTCCACGGCCTCGTTCCAGCAGACTCACAAAGGTGGGCGCCCCATCGTTAAATAGGTTTCTGGCTCGGCTTTGTTCCTGGCTCCTGCACAGCCCCCTGAGCACCCATCCCGGCCCCCGGCCATGAATGCAGCCCTTGTCTCGGTGGTAGAGGTCCTGCCCAGGTGGGATGTGTGTGCCCCCCTGCCTCTGTGCCTGGCCTGCTGGTGGGCTACCTGGAGAGAGGGGCAGGGATGTGGTTGCTTAGCAACACCGCCTCCCTCCCTCTCGACCCAAAAGTGGGCCCCGCACATCGCGGTGCAGCTTTTCTGGGGCTTGTTTGATCAGGAAGGTCAAGTGACATTTGCGGTTGATGAAATGTTGAAACGAGCAGCGCAAATGTGTGTGCGTCTCTCTCTCTAGCTCGACTCAGAAAGCGCGAAGAGGGGATCCTGAAGCCGTTGAATGGGGGGTAATTATCCCCCATTCCACTTTCCCCCCCAAAGGTCATGCCAAATGTCAGCAAAAGGACCGTATTCCTCCCCCCAAGGCAAGGCTCTTTTGGCCTGGAAGCCCCACCTTTTGACACAAGAAGCAGCCACGTGAAAGAGCACGGCTAAGGGGCCCCCGAGGCCTGACCGGACCCCTTTCCCGGGGGGAGCTGGTGGACCTGCTGCGGCTTCTGCTCCCCGCTCTCTGAAAGGGGCCGAGCAACTTCAGTGTTTCCATGGAAGAGAGAGGAACCCACAGGCAACATTCCCCCTCCTCCGTGCCACGACAAGTCCATTTTTTCCGGGAGTGAGACTCTGGGAGTACGAGAGATGCAGGCCGTTTTGAAGCACAAACCGTAGTGCTGGGACTAAGCAATACATTGGCGGGAAAGGCAAAATGCTCTAGAAGCAAACAGCCCCTGGCAGGGGCAGCCCAAACTGTTACGCTCTGCAATCCGTGTGGGTATGAAGGGCCTGTGCTCGAACGCCATCGAAGGCGTTCCCTTGCTTGGGACGGCTCCACGCGGCCCAGTCGTGAGCGGCCGGGGGCACCTTGCAAGATGGGACCCTGATGGATGCACGATCCTGCACGAAAGCACGTCTCAGCTGTGGGTGAGGTGCATCCCCAAAACCTGCTCCCCGCTCCGAGGAGGCATTTCTCCTTTGCTCTTGCTCAACTGGCCGGCAGAGGGAGGCTGGGAGCTGCAGCTGGCGCCTGCGGAGCAACCGGGGTCCGGCCGGGGGCGACGCTGCGGCCGAACCTGCCACAGTTCCCAGACCTCCTGGCGAGCGCTTTGCCTGCGTGCCTCCCTGGGGGCTGGGCTGGGCTGGGCTGGGCTGGGCTGTGGTGGCGGATGCCAGGTTATTAACGGGGGCTGGCAGATACTCCCATATCACGCCAGTCCTATATGGCTGCTAATTAAGTCCGGGCCCATTTTAAGGTGCTGGTAATGACTGATAAGGCCCAAAATGGCCTGGGTCCTGGGTACCTGAAGGAGCGCCCCTTCCCTGTGTGCCCCTTGAGACCTGAGGCAGAGGCCCTTCTCCGGGACCCTCCTTGAAGGAAATCGGGAGGGTGGCCACTTGGAGAAGGGCCTTTTCAGCGGTGGCACCCTGACTTTGGGGGGAGTGCAGGCAGCAGAACTCCACATGCAGCAGGGGGGGTGGGGGGGCACACACCCCGAGTACTGCTCATTCTCACTGTGAAGGGCCCATTAACAGCGGTCTCCAGGCTTGTCCCCCCGCCCCCTGCCTGCCTGCCTCCCTCCCCGGCCCCAGCAAGGTGGCGCTGAAGGAAGGCAGGGCGCCGTGGCCCCGACTCCTGGTCTCCCTCCCTGTCCAGCAAGCAAGGGGAAGCCGTGAGGAGGAGGCGGGTGAGGAGGGAAGCTCCCGGAGCACGGGGACCATGGAGGGTGCCCAGAAGTGAGCGCCTTGGCCTGCAGAAGGTCCCTAAGGAGAAACACCTCACCATGGCCACCTCCTTCCACGCCTAGGAATCGTCCTTGGAGGACACGTCCCTTGTGCTCTTCCTTTCCCGATCCTCTGTGAAGCAGCCCACACCTGGCCAGCTCCTCTCCAAGCAAGCACAGTTCAAAGGACCAGCACCTGTGGGATCCTGCATCCCCCCGTGAGCACCCAGGCAACCTTCCTGGTCCAATTCGTGTGGATCACTTTCAGCCTGAAGATCTTTTGTGGGCCCTGTCAGTCCATCTGGAGAAGCAACCTTGCTACATCTTCCATGGACCTCTGTTGCAAAATACCAATTTCTTTCCCAAATGTTTATGGGCCCAGTCTCAGAGGCAAAGCTAATGCGATGGTTGTGCTTCCTTGTAAGGTTAATCAGACGGTATCCAGAGTCAACATAAAGAGGTAATCTTGGCCAGCCTGTTTACTGTTGTGTTCTGCAAAAGTGAGATAAGGGACCTCTGTGTCATCACAAATAGTAAGGTGAAGAGTCCTTGCTTTTGGGGGTTTTAAACTGAAGTGATGAAGAAGTGCTAGACAAATTTTATTTCTCCCTTCTCTTTCCTGGTTGCTTCTGGCTCCAGATGAAGCTAGTTACTAGTTTCCCCAAAGGAATTACTTCATGCACCTGCTGGAATGAACAGAGGCTTGATTTTTTTCTGAGCTCTAGTTACCAATTCTTTGGAGAGGAAAGTGCAGAAAAATGGCTACCAGCAATGCAAGCCACTGATTTTATCTGATGAGTATGCTCAGATCCGGAGAGGTCGGTTCAGGGCGCGCCTGCATGCAAACCAGGCAGTCTGTGTCATCTCTCCAACCTGACCTGGAGCTGAGCTAGAAGCTGGAAAATTGGGCCCAGTAGGGTTGCAAAGGCCCTGATTTTAGCACTTCCCAAAGCTCTGATGTGAAACAGTTTTTTCACGTAAAAAATGACTAAGACTGGAATGATGCACTTGGTGAGAGCAAGCAGTCTCTGTCTCCTCTAATCCAAGGGATGGACCAATAAAACCTAGACGAGCTTTCTGAGAATAATATGTGCGCTAGCAAAATGATCCACCTTTGCAGACTTAAGAGAGACTAGTGTTAAATGAACGGAAGGGCAAAGCCTGGGTTTTGCAGGCCTGAGTTTTGCTGATTTCGCAAGAGTTGTATCCCTGCAAGTGGCGTGCCTTGAATATACTCCGCTGGGTCGTCGTCTGAGCGGGGAGTACTCGTCCCACACTCAGGGCTCCCAGAGGGCCAGAGGGCTGCATTACTCCCTCAGGGAGAATTTGGAAAAGCAGGCTGGGAGGGAGAGGAGGCACAGTGTCCTTCCAAGAGGGAGGGGAGCGGCGCCTGGCTGGACTGGCCCAGCCCAGGACGCCCCTCTCTCACCCACCTGCGACGGAAGCACCAGAAGGCAGGTGGCAGGCGAGGCTTTCCAGAGGGCGTGTGGAGCAGCGGAAGGGCCTCCTGGCAGGGTGGAATTGGGGAGAGCACTGGGCAAGCAGCTCGCATTCCACCCTCGACGGTCCTTCCTTGGACGGCCTCAGGAGTCCAGGAATGTCAGAGCGTCTGGACTCCCGAGTCCTGTTTTGCCCAGTGAACGTTCCAGATGCGCCAGCTGAGTTGCAGCCGCTGCGTTAGACAAGGGAGGGTTGGGAGCTGTCCAGGAGGAAATGCGCTGCTGCCAAAGGTAATATCTTGTATGCCAGAACCCATGACAAGCAAGGGGCTTGTCGCTTAGAAGGGGCAGGCCCACGGGGCTCATAGACGTGGAGGTGAGGTCGCCCCGGTGCTTCAGGATCATGCTCACAGAAGGTTTTAGACCTGTAGGATAAGCACCGCGCTAGAGAGGCAAAGGTGACGCCGCGTGCCTTTAGTGAAATGGACTAAATAGCCTCTACTGCATTAAGGGAATGGAGGGGGGTGAACAATCTGTCCCACTACCAACAAGGAATGCGCCAGTGAAGCCAGGAGAAGCAGCACACGGTGGCTTAGCTGAATCCACCTCGTGACTGCCTTTGGAGCGAGGGATGTCTGTTATTACCAGTGAAGGGCAGCATGAAACCCACATGCATGGGCACAGCTCCTCTGTGCTGCGGCGGAAGGGAAACAAGCCTCGAAAATGAATGTGTTGAAGAGCTTTTCTCAGTCCTACACAGAATCGGGAAACAGAAAGCTTGGTAAAGCGTCGGGTTAAAAGCCCCCCGTAGAAAAGCCCTGGGGTTGCTTTGCTGCAACCGACAAACATGGCTGAGCTTCTAGAAACTGGAAATTGTTTGACTGAGTTTATGGAGGCATTCTGTTGTATTCCCAGATGCGGTCAAGTATTGCTCTTTTCAATATGAGGACTCGTTTCATGGAGCGTCAACTTACTGCACCACAGAGACCGTAATCCGTCCACACAAATTGTTGTGCTTCTGTTTCTTAACAGTAGGAATTCAGCTCTGCTCTAGGAGCAAATTGCTGAAATTTAACACAATTGATGAAGCCATCAATAAATGAAGTGTGTGTTTGTTTCTGGCAAAGAACTGGAAGAATAAAACAGCTGCAAGCCTTAAAGACAAATATGAAAACTAAGACTGAATTAAGTCTGTCTGGTGCATCAGGAAGAACCTCTCCGGCCTGCTGTGCTGTCAGACGTCCACTGAAGCGGCTTCTCCACTGTGATTTCTTTCCTGCTCGCTTTGAGCTGCTCCGGATTTTCCTGCAGTGAGCTGGGCCGCAGAAGAAACAGTTCAGTAGCTCTGAAGCTCTGCTCACAATGGAAGGAAAAACCCAACCAGCTTCAGTGCGAATTGGGCTCCAGACTTGATAGCAACTTAGACACTCGTTAGTAATCTTGGCACAGTGTCCCTGGCATCTCAGGATCTTCTAAGCTGGCTATTCGGCGGACTGGCTTGGAAGTTGAATGCCAACGCAAGGAATTCCAGTCCATGGGAGAACTAATGTTGTGGGTATCTCATTGGGCCTCAGCCAGTACCTGGCGGAGCCCTGGACCAGCATTTGAAGTGACCCTTGCAATTTTGGCTAGTATTCTTGCTGGCACATGTGGCTCTCCAACGTGTCAGGCCAAAGCCGGGGTCAAGCTCAGATCCCCCATTGCTGGGGGCGAAGGGCAGGTCCCATTCTGCTGCAGGCCAGGGTGGCTTCCAGGACGGGTACCAGTCCCGGCCAGGCCAGACGCTTAACGCTTCCTGCCTGTGGCAGAGCCTATCCTGGCCAGCTGCTTTCACAATCACTTGCTAAGGCGGATCAGATATACCAGCCTACAACATGGATTATTCATTTATTATTAAACTTATATTCTGCTATCTTGGCCCAAGGGATCTCTAAGAAGATTACAATGGAATAAAAACACAAATTACAACGGAATAGAAACACACTAAAACAATAAAAACAATCAATTAACAACACACAACGATAAGCAAGGAAAAAGCAGTAAAACAAAACTGCACAGCTGAGGGATAACTACAACAGTGTAAATTAAAACCAGTAAATGCAAGGCCGCTTCAACCAGTACAGTCAATCTTTACCCAACATAACTTTTAAAATGTTTTCTTTATTGGTTTTGCTTTTGGTTTTGTTACATTTAAAAATGTGCAAGGAAAGCATGTGTGTGTTTGTAGCAACTCAGCTACTTCAATTAATTTGTGGTTCTTTGAATTGTACAAGAGAATTCTCTGATACAACCACCACCGCCACCACCACATATAAAAATGTGCACTAGAGGGATATGGGCACACAGCTACTGAAAATAGTTTTCCAAAATGCAGTGTAAGGAAAACTGCTTGCAAAATGTATGCAATGGACAGAAAATGGTTATGGATTTTTATGCAAATTTCAAAAGTTTGAGATAAGCTGGACTTCAGGAAAAATGAGAGAATGAAAGTGAGGGAAAGTGTTTGTCTTTTCCTGGTCCTAACTGTTCTTGCTCTTGGGTTCGACTCAAAATGTTCTTTATGACAGAACCTTTTGAAAGTGTTTAGGCAGAAGAAGACCTGGCTGGAGCTTACTGGAGGCCTGGGGTGTATTCCCAACAAAA